CATTTATTCTTTCTTTCTCTTTCTTTTCTTTCTTTCAAAAAAAAATGATATCGCATATTGCTGGTGGTAATAATATAGTGGTCTCTATAATATAACAGAGCCATGAAGTATATATTAATATATATACATATTATCCTCAAAATCTACAACGCAATCTTCAGTAAAGATTAAAGATTGTGATTTGAAATAAATTATATATATAGTATATATATATATATATATATATATATATATATATATATATATATATATTCAGCAATGACTATAATTTATATATTTACAATTCTGCTTGTCTGCTGGTCGATAGGCGCACCGACTGTCTAAGCGGAGAGGCGCAAATGATTTCTGATCTACCCCGTTTCCATTGTCAGGCTGAAGCACAGCATGACACCAACCCACACGGTGGGCCATCCGGGTGGCATAATCCGATCTTACCTCAACTGATAAGACCAGTAAGATTTTCCCATAACCTTCAGGTCATTTCATGTTAATTGTGGTTGTGTGCTGGGTGAGCCTGTGGGAACGTACGTTTGTTTTCTATGTGTCTGCACAAGAGAACAAAGAAAGAAAGAAAGAAAGAAAGAGTAATAGAAAGAAAGAAAAACAAAGAAAGAAATAAAAATAAGGAAAGTGATAGAAAGAAAGAAAGAAAAAACAGAAAGATAGAAAAAGAAAGAAAATTGTGTAAAAAAAACTACAAAAAATATCCTTTCTGTGGTATTTAATTAAACATTAAAGAAAGAAAGAGAAAGAAAGATCGAAAGAAACAAAGAAAGAAAAAGAGAAAGAAAGAATGAAAAAGAAAGGAATAAAAGAAAGAGAAAGAAAGAATAGATGAGAAAGAAAGAAAGAGAGAAAGAAAGAATGAAAAAGAAATAAAGAAAAGAAAGAATAAATGAAAAAGGAAGAAAAAAGAAAGAAAGAAAGAAGATACAGGGTGGCTGATTATTGACTTCTTGTTAATGTGGATGGGTAAGCCCAGGAGAGATCTTGCTTGGAAATTTTGGAATGAGGGATACACTAACGAAAACTTTGATGTCATCGAAATCAGGTTTTATTGTTTTTCCTGAATATTTTTTTTTTATTTTTTTGTACCTCTGTTTTTTCCTTCTTTTGTTTTTTTTGGTGGGGGGCATTTTTTTGTGTGTGGGTGGGGACCGCTTTTCCTTCTCTTCTTTTTTTGGCGTGGTCTATTTTTCTTCCTTTTTGAAATCACTTTGCGTTCCTTTTTTGAGGTGATCACTTTTTACTTTTGGTTGGGGGACAGTTTTCTTGTTTGGGGGTGGGGGGCAATTTTTCATTACTTTTTCTGGTGGCGGAGATCGCTTGTTATGTTGGGGGCGTCGTTTTCTTTTTTTTTTCAATTTCTTTACTTTTTTGGTGAGAGGGACACCTATCCTCTTTCGAAATCTTTTTTTCTTTTTAGGAGGGCAAATTTGGTTATTTTTATTGGGGAGATATACATTTTTTGCTTACTTGTTGCTCTACATCTATCTATCTATCTCAATTTGTTCATATCTATCTATCTATCTATCTATCTATCTATCTATCTATCTATCTATCTCAGCCTGTTCCTATCTATCTATCTACTTGCATAAAAAAATACTACGAAGATATTCTTTTCTTTGGCATTTAACTAAGCATGTATTAACGAAGCAATGCTACCTAAGTACATCCACGCAGGAATCTATACACATTAATGTGGCACAAAGACAAATGGGGATAAGAATTAGGGTTATAAAAATTCTTGGACTAATCACCCTTAGTGAGGGAGGATTTGCTTTGTAACCTGGCATTCCAAATCATGATTTCTTACTTGGTTTTAGAACAACTGACATTACTCATAATTACACAACTGACACTTCTACGAAATAGGTAGGTAAAATTATATATATATATATATATATATATATATATATATATATACGATTTATTTACTCCTCTATCTTAAATTAACTTTGATATCTGTCTAAGTAGGTCTGAAGTTATAAATAACCACTGATAGATAAAACAATTATATCTACATTCAAACGTAAAGGTACGTGTAGCAGGCAAATTTAGTGATCCCGATTTTCACAGAGTACCCTCAAACTACAGCCTTGTGTCAAACCAAGCTACACTGTCTATATAAGTGTTAATATTGCCTGTCTTACACACCCACACCCAAACACACGCACATACACGATTGAGTTCGATTCTTACTAACTATACCACAACTGTAGCCATACTACTACTACAGCACGTCTTGTTGTGTATTGGTTAACGAGTTGTGTCCAAGTTTTTTTGTTAGTGTAGTGAGTTCGATCCTTATAGAGTAACCCCAATCGCTGTCATGCACCAGACAATCTAAGGTTAGTAAATAATTACATATATAAGCAATTTATAGTTATAATTTATGTTAATTTCTTTTGATAGGGAGGTATACTTAAAAAGCAGTGGGAGAATGTGTGAGGGAGAGGGAAAGGAAAGAAGACAGCAAGGAAGGAAAGAAGAAGGAAAAAAAAGATCTGTGTGATTTTGGATTGATTCGTGCCTTGCTTTACCTCTTTCTACTTCTCTCTCCCTCTCTTTCACGTCTATGAATCAACTTAAGTTTTAGTGGCCATCAACCGTAAAATAATAATAAAAAAAACGTGAGAAAAAAAGATAGTGCCTGAAGAAGAAAAAAAAAAATTACTAGCTGAACGGACACTCACACACACACAGGTGGAGGGAGGTGGTGGAGAGGCTGGCTGAGTTAACGGCGTCATTTTCACTACAAAGCTCCCAACAGGTGAGAATCACCTCGGCACCCAGATAACAGCACAACTGCGAGGAAAATTTCACAGACAGAAAAAAAAACAAAAAACAAAAAACCCAACCAAACAAACACAAAAAAATCAAGGAAAAATATCAACTTCAGGTGGGTGTCTCTTGTAGATTTTCAAAATTAATTATTATACCTTTACAACAGGGTGGGATAAAAAAAAAAAAAAAAAAACAGGATTAAAAAAAATATATCGTTACCTTTCTTCATGTTTCATTTTTTTTTTACCTTGAGAAAAAGAAAAAAAAAACCTTCAAAATTCTTTTTCTCTATTGTTTTCATCATTTCCTTAATTTTCTGCGGGACTTTCTTTTTTAAACTCTAAAACTTGTTTGAAATATATATTCCGCTATTTATAAATTTGTAACTCTCTAGCTACGATCATCAGATGGAATTACTTTCTTCAGATAAATTATTTGAAATGCGTATTTTTAAAATGTTTCGTTTTCTTAATTTTCGATGTCGGTCTCGTTTTTCAACAAGCGACAAACAGGTTTACATAAAATATAACGACACATTAACTTTTTTTTAATCAATACCATTAAAGCATTAATATGGAAGACCCTGATTGCTATTGTTTGCGTAAATCGATATATCTATGTAAATAGACATATTGAATATTTCAAACGGCTTGCTGATTTTTTTTTTTAATCAAATTTGAGTTAATTTTTTAAATTTTATTTTTTTTTGCTAAACGTATCAATTGTTGTTTTTAAGCAAAATTAAATTCTCATTTTCATGAAGATAATTTGGAATCAAAACAAACAGGATAAAGATAACATTTTGGAATATATTTCATCCTACTTGAACAAATATAAAACAGGTTTTTTTTTCTTTTTTTTTTTAAATTTCTAACGTTTAACAACTGAAGAACAGTTTGGCTGAAAACATTGCGATAAAAAGTGATGGCTATTAAAATGACTTATATAATACATCTTTCTATATCGACCTGCTTATTTTAGTTGGTTCAAGAAATAATTTTATCCATTTAATAGTTCAAGCATTTTCTAAAATCATTTTACTGTTATTTGACACGTTTTGAGAGGATCTATGCTTCAACTATTAAATCAGAGTTAATAATAAAATATATAACAGAGTGATGAAAAGACATATTAGAGACACGACTTGGTTTGAGACAGAAAATGAAAGAAAGAAAGGAAGATAGAAAAGGCGATAACATCCTCATGTGCTAAACGTCTGTTTCAATGAAAATGGAAAAAAGTTGCCAATTTCAAATCTTTTCATTTCATTTAATTATGATCGATATTTCAATATTTTGCTAAGGTTATTAAGCTCAAATATGCGATAGGGAAATTTCTACGGATATTTCATTGTCGTAGAACTCACCATGAGCTTATTCAATCATTAACTTGAAAATTAAGATTCGTCAGAAAATTCAAATAGGAAAACCGTGAAATTTTCACTTTATTGCATCAATCTTTCAAATGCGTGTGTTTCCGAAGTAACGTCCTCTTTCCTTGAGCCATGTCCCTTGAGGACATGAGTGATGATAACTCTCCACAGCTTCCTGTCTTAAAAATCAGTATTTAAACGCGCATCTCTGACAACGATGAGAAATATATAATTATCTGGCAAGTTACATAGCGTATATATTTTTTAAAATTTTGATTAAAAAATAATTTGGCTTGTTTAATTTATTTTTATTTGATTTGATTAATTCATTTTTTACGGCCTATCAACCGTTTTTTTGAGGTTCACCTTGTACAAGGCCCGGTAGCCACTCGAAGTAGAGGGTTACAGATTAAGAGACACAGTTTATACGGATAGGAGGGGAAGATAACCGTTAACCCGAGACTTCAACAGGTTAAGATTGTACTGATCGGGGAAACAACCTCTTTGGAGTCTGTTCCACAGGGCAATGCTTCGCGGGAAGAAGCTGTTCGAGTGGAACTTACTTCTCGCTGATGGAATACGAAGGGAATCTCGGTTACTTAAAGAAGAAGCATATTTTTGGATTGTAAGAATAATTCTTCTGTTTTTGTGAGTGAATATTGTATTAACCCCTTTTTTGGAGATAATAATAATTTCCAGATACAGGTATTACTATTTAATCCATAGGTGGGGGAGAAGAGGTGAATTCATACCTTTCCCAAGAGTATTTGCGCTTAATGAACCTGACTGGAATTGAACTTGTCTTTCCGACGTTATCTATTACACCGCGCGCTCATCCAAGCTTACAGCACCTGGAATTTCCAATTGGTCACCCATCTCGGTACTGACTATGCTCAACGTTGCTTAACTTCAGTAAGTGTACGGGAAGCAATGTTTCAATGTGATATGGCCATAAGTTATCTGTGTCTATGATGTCAGTTTTATATGACTGTAATATAGACGAGCTTAATAAACTTCAATATATATATATATATATATATATATATATATATATATATATATATATATATATATATATATATATATATATATATATATATATATATATATATATATATATATATATATATATATATATTGTGTGTTGTGTCCCTTCAGTATGTTGGCAATCATAGATCACCACAATTTCCTGTCCTTTGTAGCTCTTAATAGATTTTATGCTTTTGTCAGCTGTTTAGATAGGCTATACGCTTTTTTCCCTCTGTCCCTCTTGCCTTCAATCTGTCCTGTGAATATCAAATTTTCCAAGCCCTCTACAATTTCATGTCCTTTGTAGCTCTTAATAAAATTTATCTTTTGTTCCACCATCCATTTACTCAAACTCGCTAGGTAGGTTATGCGTTGGTTTCCTCTGTCCCTCTTGCCTTCAATCTGTCCTGTGAGTATCAAATTTTCCAAGCTCCCTCATGTACCTTTGAAATTACAACTGTCTCTTCCTGATATTAAGTGTCCATTTTCGTTCCATTTTCTCTAAAACTTTGTCGTTGCACACATATTCGGTCCATGGTATTCTCAGTATCCTTCTGTAGAACCACATTTCTGTTGCTTCAGGTCTCTTCTTCATATGTGAGGAGATTGTCTCGCATTCACTGCCATATAAGAGGACTGATATTACGTAATCTTTTTCTTTATTTCTAAGGAATTTTTTGTTTCTTAATTGTTTGCTTAGCTTTTGGAAGGCATCTTTCTCTATCCCAATGCAACTCCGGATTTCAGTGTCTCACCTTCCGTCTTCTGTTAAAACACTTCCAAGATATTTGGATTGTTGTAATTGTTTTATTTTGGTAATTTCGATTTTGTAATTTTCATGTTAGGCAGTTCCGTTTGCTAACAACTATGAATTCTGTCTTTTTGCAATTGATGATTAGTCCTTTCATCTGGCTTTCTTTCATTAACTTCTGTAGGACCTTTTCTAGTTTCCTTTCTGTGTCTTCTATCAACACTGTATCAACCACATAAATTGTGTTAAGATTATGGCTTCCAATAATGAACACTTGTAGGTCTTCTAATTCTTCCAGAATTGCCTCAATGTTCAGGCTGAATAAGTGAAGATGATTGCCGATAATAATGGATCTTATTAGAACTTTTAATTCTTTCAGAATCACCTCCCTGTATAGGTTGAATAAGTTCGATGAGATGTGCAGCTAAGTTACATATTAATACTTTAAATTACACATTATATTTATAAAAACAAATAAACTTTTAATTTAAAATTGATAATTTCTTTGGGTGAATTAATATTTGCAATAAGTAACTTTATATTATTTTGGGTGAATTAATAGAAAAGATTCCCTTCGTTTTTGTTTTTGTTAATTAACAGAACAAGATCCCGGTCTACAATATACGTTGGAATTTTGAACCAAACTCTTGATTTAGTCCACTGGGGGTATATTATTCTAGTTCCATGTGCCATGCCTCTTCTGGATATCTCAGGTTCAGTTAATTCCTTTTAGTAACTCAACTCTTCAAGTTTTTATTCACCTCTGCTGTGGCCAAGTATTGAACTTACAACACTTAGGGTCAAGGCACTGGTACATGCTCCAGTAAAAGCGTTGGTTAAAGTAATGCAGTAACTTGACCCAGAGTTGTGATGTTCTTATAATGCCAGTGTTATCTACAAAAATTATAAAATACGAGAGAGAGTGAGAGAGAGAGAGGGTAAAGAGAGATAGAGGGAGGGAAGAGAGAGGGGGAATAGAGAGAGAAAGAGGGGAAAGAGAGTGAGATGGATGGAAGAGAAAGAGGGGAGAGAGAAGAAGAGGGAGAGAGATGGAGGGAAGAAAGAGGGAAAGAGAGAGATAGAGGGAAGATAGAAAGAGAAAGAGGGGAGAGAGAGAAAGAGGGGAAAGAGAGAGAAAGAAGGGAAAAGCAAGAAAAAAGGGAAGAGAGAGAAAGAGAGGGAGGGAGAGAAGAGAGAGAGAAAGAGAGAGAGGGGCAAGAGGGGGGAAAGAGAGAGAGACACACACACACACGACTGTAATATCTCTCTGAACATATTGAAAATACAGAATGAAAATAAAAGTATCATCCAAATTCTTGTTCGCGGTGCAACATTAGGATGGACGCCATGTTCGTCAATGATTTGATGAAAACTTTCTCGGAAAGTAAATCAGGCGATGCGGTGAGATTGAGTGATCTACAAGCTCCCCAGGCCTTGCACATTGACATTTCTTTCTTTGGGGGTTCATGGCAGACTTTTGTTTTATCGTGAAAAACCTCGTATCATTCAAAAACTAAATGCTAAAATCACTGCAAAGTTTGACGAGAGTGACATCAAACTCTGCAAGCGAGTATGTCTCTCAGTGCCTGTCCAGTTGCAATTATGCATTAAGCCCGAAGGAAGGTACTATATACATGGAAACTAAAATTGCTTGGTTCGGCTCCTTAATAATCCCCCCCCACGAATGTTAATATTAACCGGCATTCATTGATCGAACAGTTTGTATTAGACACGCTTGTAATTTATAAAACAATTCTCTTAAAACAATTTTTCAAGGAAAATAGGTTTCTCAATTAGCTGTTATTAATCTTTCCAGTATTGACAGGAGTTTCGTTTTTGACGGTCTCTTGGAAGTAGTGTGAAACATCTTGATTAAGATATCATTTTCTTTTCGAGTTACATTTTACATCCATTTTAGCAGCTGTTGGTGATTTGTAATGCCAGTCCATAACTGTAGTCTTCAATAAGACCCACAGGCTTCACCCGCTCTAAGGCAATTTTAGCCATCGATCTGAGAAAATGGTTGTAAATGATTCGATAAACACGTCTTTGGTTGATTTCTACCTTCGTGTACATTAAAATAAAATTAGCTAACAAACACACAACTGACAGCTGTAAGAAAAATAAAAGCGAATGTTAATTTGAATTAATCTATCTCCTTCAGTGTGTTCATCTATCTATCTATCTATCTATCTATGTCTGTCCATATCTATCTATCTATCTATCTATCTATGTCTGTCCATATCTATCTATCTATCTATCTATCTATCTATCTATGTCTGTCCATATCTATCTATCTATCTATCTATCTATGTCTGTCCATATCTATCTATCTATCTATCTATCTATCTATGTCTGTCCATATCTATCTATCTATCTATCTATCTATCTATCTATGTCTCTCCATATCTATCTATCTCTCTATCTATGTCTGTCCATATCTATCTATCTATGTCTGTCCATATCTATCTATCTATCTCCTTCAATCTGTTCTGACTTTTATTGATTTTCTGACGCCATTTTTTTGCATAAACAGTTCCAATCAACCCGATTATTAAGATTCCTAAGAGTAGGTATGAAATAGCAATAACTTTTAAACAGACAGGGACGACCCACGCCATCCTCTAATTCCAACCACCAATTCTCTGAAATAATCTCGAAATTTCCTTCCACCCTTTAGTGTAGGCTAGGACCGTTCTATTACAGGGCGTTTTGAAATTATAAAGATTTCTAGTCATTTATTCTAACCTCCCAGTTTATGTGAAACTCAAGTTTAGCTTGAAAGGGTGCTAAAAAAAAAAATCTCGGTGAAGACTGCTTCCGCAAATCTTACCAAATAATCAAACATCAGTTGTTTTTTTTTTTTAAATAAGTTTTAATCACGTAAGTCGATAAGCCACGAAAACGCAAGAGGTTACCGAAAGTGAACGAAACTGAAAAAGAAAAAAATTTTTTTCAAGGAAACAACGACTGATATTGCATTTAAATGTTTGTAGATCGGGGTTAGCAGGAAAGCAAAAAGCTGGTCGAGTTCCCTACGCGAGATGTGCGAGAAAAGAAGCCTTTTCATTGGTAATTTCGTCTTGGTCGAGCCGATAATATTTCAGCACCCCAATTGTAAATGAGCGGGATAGGCTGATAAATAAATGTATCGTTTAACTGCTGGTAGAGAAAGTATAATTAAGCTCACCTTTCGATGTTCAAAGAGGTCATTTTGTCAACATGTCCTGAGAAAGAGTGTGAGTAAGTTTATTAGAGCGATGGGTGCCGAGAAGTGGAGAAAGAAAAGAAAATGCAACTCTCGTAAATTGTTCCTTGTCGACGAATTGAAAATCTTGGAAAACCCGAAAAAAGAAATAAATAAAAATGACTAATTCATAAAACAGACGACAAAGAAGAAAGAAAGAAAAGACGTGACGCAAGTCTTTACAAAATTTGAATGTGAATGGCAATGAGTCATTGAAATTTATGTCAACAGGGTAGGTAGATAACTTACAATCTTTTTTCAAGCGACATAAAAAAGAACTTTGGCTTTTCACCCTCCCTACCTTGTTCGACTTAATCATTTCCCTATTACTGATTTTGTGATACATTTGTATGAAAACATATCTATAGACAGATAAGGAAAGAGAGAAAAAGACCGACTACCAACGCGCAAATGTAATCAAATCACTTTATATATATATATATATATATATACACATTAAGAATTAAGTCCGACAATTTATTAAAGACATTTTTATGTTTAACATTCTTTTTATAGATACACGTATTTAAGTAAATGCTCTGTTTATAATAAACAGTATTAAATTAAATAACATTTACCGGCCTGAATGTCCGAGAAATTTTCATAGAAAATATTCGTCCTTTGACAGGATTCGAACCTGCTTCCTATACGGAACCGTCATTTACGCTGACGTGCCTTAACCGACTTGGCCACAAAGGAGCAAGGTCGAATTTTACTGCTTATAAACTTCAATCTTCCATGAATCTCGTACATTCATAACTATATATATATATATATTATATATATATAATATATATATATATATATATATATATATATATATATATATATATATATTATAAATCAATTGATTTAAAATATGGTTTTTTCCGCTACACAGTTCTAACCATGTTTCAAAATTTTTTGAATAAATCAATTAATTTATAA